ACCCTTGAAAATACACGAGATGCCTGAAATTCAATCTGTGCATCAGTACAGCACAATTAGTTTCACTTGTAGCTCTAATTTAGCAGTAGAAAATAAGCTGTAAATGCAGAAAGAAAAATCTCCATTTCTATTCTGTGCTTCTCAAATCCCAAACTGAGAACAAGAACACACACACAAACATAATGATAAAGTAGGTGAAGGTCTAGAGAGGACTGTTACCTTCTGTCCCAAGAATTCATCCCCAAGTCATCGAGCAACAACCTGCAGAAATAAAAGGGTCCTTGTGGCTCTACTGGTGAGGGCTGCTCCTGGCTGGTGACTTTCATGGCCGAGTCAGAGTTACACCTCTGGATGTAGTCGTCTTCTTGGGCATTCTGGCGCAAAATGACCTCGATGATTTCCTTCTCCTGGTCACGGTTCATTCCCCGCGGGGGTGGGGAGGGCTCATTTAGATTTAGCTGTGATGGTAAAAGGCATTCAGGACTTGTGTGGCCAATGTTTTCAAGTAATTTGTCGAGGACGTCATCTCCCTCCTCACTTTGAGAAAAATCTTTCTGAGCTCCCAAAGCTTGAGGTTGCCAGCCCGAAATCAGAAATGCAGGATTTCTGCCACTGGGTGCTAAGCAGCCTTCCAATGGTCCATACAAAACCTTCCCGTCCCAAGAGTACTTCCCTGAGATATCCCGTACAATGACTCTGACGTCTGACAGGGTGCCCCCCCGCAAGCCGCCTGCTGGCCCTTCAGAGGGTGTCTGAAGGTAGGAGATGAGGGTGCTGTCATTCAGCACAAAGAGCTGCAGGTTTGGGCTCCGGAACACCTCGGAGGACAGCTCAGGGGCCTCGGCGTGCGCGTTGTCATGGTTCTCGCTGACCAGGCTGTGCAGCACGGCAGGGCCCCCACGCAGCGGGAAGTGTCCCAGGTGGTTCACCAGGTGGGCCATCACCATGCGGGCGGTCAGAGGGATCAGCTCCAAACTCCTCCTCTTCCGCTCTGTGAGCCGGGGTAAGGCAACATAGCAGACAGTGGGGAAGGAAGCTTAAAATCTGTACTCGGAATGTTGGATTTGGTTTAGTCTGGCCATTTTTTTCATCTATTTTCTTTTTTGACACTAATTCTATTTGAATTAAAAGTACAATTTAAATAGATTGCTAGAAATAAGTCAACCAGAGAAAGACAATTATCATATGATCTGATATGTGGAATTTAAGAAACAAGGCAAAGGATTATAGGGAAAGAGAGGAAAAAGTGAAACAAGAGAGGGAGACAAACCATAAGAGACTCTTAATCTCAGGAAACAAACTGAGGGTTGCTGGGGGGGTGGGGAGATGGGGTGGCTGGGTGATGGACATTGGGGAGGGTATGTGTTGTGGGGAGCACTGGGTATAAGACTGATGAATCATAGACCTGTACCCCTGAAACAAATACATTATATGTTAAATAAATAAATAAATAAATAATAAATAAATAACTTGATTAAATAGATTGCTAAAAGAACCAACTTCCATGAAGATCTCATTCTGAAAGGGACACTTAAAAATCTGTAGATACAGCAGTAAATGAGAGAAGTTCCTGGTCCTGAAAGAGCTGATGGTTCAGGGAGTTCTGGGAGGCGGAACCTGCAGCTGGAGAGCATCTGGTGGGAAAGGTGGTGGGCTGTGGGTTCAGGCCACAGAGGTTACCCCACTTCCCTCACCGGCGTAAAGACAGACACTGATGAGGAAATGTATCAAGCCTATGACGTCACAGATGGATTCGAAGCAATCTTAAGATCGTTGCAAAAATTTATGTTTTGTTGTTTGGGCATTTTAAATATTTAACAGAATCTGGTATATTAATTAACTCATGGAAATCGGTTTTAACTGAATTTGCAGTTGATGATGAAATGCCTAAGAGCAACTGACTTACAAAATTTTTAAGGCTTCAAATGTGTAGAAAGACTGACACTAGCAGGTGAAGGTGGGCTCTGTGACATGCTGGCAGGGTAAGGGAGAAGCAGAGAAACAATCTGTAAGCACGGAGGGAGACAACCACTTAAGCTTCAGAGTGGTCAGGGAAATTGTAATCTGCCAAATTTAGAAAAGAACTGTGTGTTAATCCAAGAACAAATGAAAATGAATTTTTAATTTCAATAAAAAATATCACTAGATAAATAAGGTAAGACTTATACTTTGGGCTTACAGGTTTAGGAAATACTTGGTTTCTAAATTCACAACGGAAAACTCAAATATTAATTAAACACAAATAAGTCTAAATTATGTTTTCTGATGCTAAACACCTTCCCTCTCAGACATTAAAAATTCAGTGAACTTATCTATGAAACATCAATTGTATGATGTATAAATCCTAGCAGGAAACAATCAACTCCTAGAGTATAGGAACCTCGGTGATGACTAATGAACAAGATCGTCCTGACTTTTCATTGAATTTCTTCTTAATTTTTGCTATTCAGTGAACAAGAAATCGCTGTATTCAACAACGTAAAATAAAATCTCACATGAAAACTTGAGTTTTCATAAGCAAAGTTCATCTACATCCATCTCTGACATTCAACTGTCCTTCTTGACCCTTGTAGAAGAGTGTATGATTTCCATACAGCTGAGAAATTTAAACACCTCAACTAATTCCCCTGTAATCACAGTTATGAATGCCTTTGCTTTTGTGTCCATATTAACTTTTTCAAAAGTTACAGATGCTTTTTATTCATGCTTATCATTCCATATGAATATGCGCTCTGTCAGAAATGTTAATGCCCCAAACAACAAAGGCATGGCCAGCTGGGGGTTCAGGAGTCTATGGTGTAAGACAGCACGTGGTGATGACTCGATGGAGCAGGCTGTGGAACGAATGACAAAGGTCCAATTTGGTAAAGCCCAACACAGACAATTACAATTGGAAAAGCAACTTTCCTCTGCTTTAACTTACATAGGTTGTGCTTTCAATTTGAGATACATACAAATTTGTATTTTAAGGAACGTGTTTGAATTCTACAATGGGAGATGAACTAGAGTCACACTAATCAAGTCATAAACCGTGACACACCCAATAAAAACTCCAAATATCTTTGGTATTGAAAAGTGGGAAAGGGAATATTTGTGAAGTAAAAACTGTTTTTTTCCTGGCAGACTTCAGCTGCATCAACTGCCTGTGGTTCCCTGAAAAATAAAGAGAAAATCTAGACTCCATTCACGAGAAAACAATCTCATAACTTCCACAAACTATGAAAAAATATAATCCAAATATTTGTCTTATTTTACTACATTTAGAGATGAAATAGAAAAGCAGTGATTTTAGTTTGTCTTTTAACTTTCAGTTTTTAAAGCTCCCCTCTTCCTTTCTTTTTAAAGCAATTAGTTATTAATGATGAGAAATTTGCTTTTCCTTGAGCTGGACCAGCAGCCACCTCAGCTGTTGGTAACTGAATGTGTCTCTTGCTTGTAACTATTTCAAAGTAGTATTTACATCAAATAGTACGTAATACTGAATGAAAGAGTCACTTGAAAATAATAGATAAATATACAATATTGCTTCCCAGAAACATGTGAGAAAAAAGTTTGGTTACGAATGATGAATTATGACACTGAATGAGAAAAAAACCTCTCAAATACAAGCACATTTTGTTTAACCTAAAATACTTCAGCTATCATCTTTAATTTTCCTCTCATTCTTAAGAGGGTGTACCCACTTAGCAAGAGTGTCTGTGCATGCCAATATGTTTTTAAACTGCTTTGCTTTTTTTATTTAAAGTGTTAGTGAATTTTAAAACTCCTTTGCCTCTGAAGTACAAGCAATTATTTTTAGTACCACAGAACTATGTTAGGACAAGCTTGCATAAGGTCTGAGGTTTTCTATAAAACTTTCCTGGACTGGACGGTTCCAGAGCCTTTGCCAATGACTGGTGCTCCCACTCCCATCCTCTTCATCGTCACCTCGCCTGTCGTCTTCCTCTCGGCCTAACCCATACTCCAGACTCTGCAGTCCTGCAAGCATAGCCCTGGACTCCGTGCCCTCACCTGGTTACTGTCCCTCCTTTGTCCACCAAAGGACCTACAAGAAGAATGTCTTGGGGGTCTGAACAGTCATCCCCAAATCACCTGCTCAGGCTTTTTGGCTACAGACTAACCTCCATGCCCAAAGTACTCAGCAAAACTCACCACCAAATGCTTAGCTGGGAAACAAAACAAAACAGCTCCCACTCTCCGTGATGTTTTTGAAGCACCTAGGACTGCTGACTTTTTTTGGCTCCTTATTCCCTTTCTTCCCTCAACTTCTCAGAACTGACTCTTTCTGGGTTCTTTTTCCAATTCCCTGACTTTGCTTTCATGGTGACATTCCCTCATTCCTTTTTCTTTAACGTGTTTTTACTCCCAAGGTTCCACCCTTGGGCCTAGGTTTTAACTTGCCAAGTCTGTAACATTTTCATGGATGATCCAACACTCCACACCCACATTTTTTTTTTAACTTTTAACTTTGAGACAATAGAAGATTCACATGCACATGTAAGAAATGATACAGAGAGATCCCAAATATCCTTCATCCCCCTGGTAATATCTTACATAGCATAGCTTTAGTACAGTATCACAATCAGGAAATTTTGATTGGTATCTTGATATGATATGGTACATTTGATATGATTCATCAATATTCAGAGTTTACTCGTTTCACATGTACTATGTATGTGTGTGTTTAGTTCTATGCAATTATTTCATATGTACAGGTGATATACCTACCTTTGGACTCACATTTCAAGGCCCAGAGATAGGCTCTTTGCCTTTTAGGAAGAAGGGAGGTTGAGGAAGACATACAGCAGTTCCTAATCCTGACGATACCCATATATTCTAAAATGGACCCTCTGCCATCAGCAGAGTGATCCTCAAACTGTGGCATGTAAATCCCCACCTCTCTACAATGCTCTCCTAGTCTGCAACCCTCCACGAGATCCTTTCAAAGTCTGCCCATCCTTCTAAGTCTGGCTTAGGTCCTTCCCCACGGGAAGCCCCCATGGTGCTACCGGTCCACAAATAAGTCCTCCTGCATTAATCCTGTCTCTCCAGTTACACGTAAAGTTCCTGTAGGATAGAAATAAGCCTTTTTCTGTGGGTCTCATAGGTCTGAAAAATACAGGTCCTCAATACAAAATTCAGCTAAGATAGGAAAAGAGAGAGGAAGTGAAGAAACGAGAAAAAAAGAAACAAGGAAGGCAGAATTTGCTATCACAGAAGAGTCTAGAAACCAAAAACTAGATTGTTAAAAATAATATAGCAAGCATGGGCAAAAGGCTACAATCTTTCCTTTTCCTGCCCATGAGAATTAATATTCTGAAGAATCTCACCCTCTTCAACTGTGAGCAGGTTGCCCAAATCTGCTGATGAATGATACTGGACTGGCTCCGAATTCTTCACATTTGCCAGTGGCAGGAAAGGATCGTAATCCGGGGAGGACAGGTCGGCCAGGGTCAGTGTGTAGTGACTCTGCTGGGTGTATGTGCTTGAGCCACAAACACAGCAGTGCAGAACCTGTGAAAAACAGAAGGGAATGTGTGCCGTGGATGCGACGAACCTCCTGTCCCCTGACAATCTGCCACCCCACAAGAGCACTTAGGAGGTAGGTAATACTTGAAGACATAGAATCCCTTCCATTCTAAAACATCTTCGTGCTATTTGCAAGTTTATTTTGCTCCTTTTACATCAATGCCAATAAATATATTCTCAAGACAAAAGGAAAGTGTAAGTTAAAAAGTGCTGATTTTGCCCTAAGTCCTGCTGTGGCCCGCCAGAATGTTCACAGATCTTCTTTTTACGGTCCCAAACTCTACTACCCAAATGTCCATCAACAGTACAACAGATATAAATCATGGGATCCTCTCATTGTGTATTACCAAATAGCAACAAGTGAAAAATCTGCAACTATTCACAAGAGTATGAATGAATCCTTCAGAAATAATGCTGAGTGAAGGATGCCAAGCACAGAAGCACATATTGCATAATTCCAGCTATACAAAGTACAAAAAAAATCTATACTGTTAGACAGGCTAGCGGTTACCCCAGGTGTGTGCATGAAGATAGTGACTAGTAGGGAGGCATGATGGGGGCTTCTGGGATACCAAGGCTATTCAGTTTCTGCAGCTGGGATCTGGTTTCACAGGTGTGATCACTTTGTGAAAATTCATCAAGCTCTCACTTATACTGAAGCACTTGTCTGGATGCATACTATACTTAATAAAAAGTTTCCTTTAAAGATACAATAATGTTATTCAATAAATTTGTGAATCATGTTAACTAGGAGGTGACTCTTTTATTGGTAAAACAATTTTAAGAGAAATCTTTTAAGAAAAGAAATATCAGAAAAGAGATAAATTTAAATGACTGTGGCTACTTTACTTGGTCAAGTCAGGCCTCAAATAGGTTTTATAAGCCACAAAGATGACAGAAGTATCTAATGAATCCTAACAGTTATTAAAATTTTTGACCACTAAAGAAACCATTTAAAAATACAAAATACTTTTTAGTAGAATTTCAACCATGTTAAGTGTCTTTTTCCTTTGTATCAGATACATTTTAAAACAAGGCAACACAGTAATAAGTTAATGACTTGGAATTTTTTTTTTTAAAGGTTATTAGTAGGGGCCCCTGGGTGGCTCAGTTGGTCAAGCGCCTGCCTTCGGCTCAGGTCATGATCTTAGGGTCCTGGGATCGAGCCCCGCGTCAGGCTCCCTACTCAGTGGGGAACCTGCTTCTCCCTCTGCCTCTGCTGTTCTCCCTGCTTGTGTTCTCTTGCTCACTCTCTCTCAAATAAATGAAATCTTTTAAAAAAAATAAAGGTTATTAGTAAAGGTTTGTTACTAAAAAAATTAACAGAACTGTCTCTACTTAGTAGTAATTATTCAATGGATACACAAGTGCTAAATTCATAAATGAAGCTTTCACAGGAGGGACTGTAAAGCCAATATAGAAGGATAATAGAGTCCAGAGCAAACACCATACCTACGTATCAGTAGGGGGTGAAATTCAAATATCTTGAGTATGATAAAAGTGATGAGACTAAATACTTTGATGTTATATATTTCCTTAATTTATTTCTTAAGATCTCGGGGTGCCTAGATGGCTCAGTCGGTTAAACATCGGCTCAGGTCATGAGCTCAGCGTCTTGGGATGGAACCCTGAGTCGGGCTCCCTGCTCAGTGGAGAGTCTGCTTCTTCCTCGCCTCCCTGCTTGCGCTCTCTCTTGCTATCTCTATCTCTTTCTCTCAAATAAATAAATAAAATCTTAAAAAAATTTATTTCTTAAGATCTTTTAAACAAAGAGACTATTGAGACCTTTATATTTTTTCTTCCATTGATAAGCAGATTTTTGTCAAACTATGGCTATAAATATTCCTACAATATAAACAGTTCTTTTTAAAGTTAAGTAGAGATAGACCATGTTACATGAAAATTTGGGGGGGTGGTTTCTGGTCAAATTGCAGTTGTTGAAAGATGGAAGTCATGTGAAAATGCAGGCTTCTTTCACTTGGTAACCATTGCTTCTCTACAATAATATCTGCTCTGTTTTCACTACTTAAATTATTCATTTCTTTTAAAATGCTTCAGCCCCCGTATATGCTTTTCAAAAGAGCACAAATAAGTAAATGTATAAAACATATTTTGGTAATTCTCTGATGCTTACGTCTATACTCTATGCCCCTGAGGCCCAAATGGAGACTCACCCTATAGATATAGTCCAGCAAAGGGCCTCTGGACGAGTGCTGCCCTTCCAGGGCTGCTGCAGACACCGGGCGGAGAAGGGTGCTCACCGGCAATGCCATACACCAGTCCAAGAGGCAGAGTAGCAAGGACACAATAAACTGGAAGAGGAGACATGCCCCGTAACATACACTGCAATCTTTCCAACTTCACTACATGTAACAGCAAACAACAGAACTGTCCCTGTATAATAATATTCAGTGGACACACAAATGCAAAAGAAATAAATGAATAAATAAAAGTTCTCACAGGGGAGACTGTTAGGACCAATACAGAAGAATACTATAAAGGATATCCCTATATAGAACATTATTTATCATTTGGTCTTACATTAAAAAAACAAACAAACAAACTCTGGAAAAAACTTAGCTGATGTGCCACCTACCTTTTTATCTGTTTCCGCTGAGGAGTACTCTGCACTTGGTAAAAGAAAAGCAATTGTGGCCACAAGGATCTGCATAAAAGACAAATCCCCAATGAAACAGACCATAGCAATAGTTTGGGAAACCATACGTTAAGAGTCCCAAGATGGCCTTGCACTAAACCCAGCTTGGTGCCAACTCGCTAGAGAAAGGTGACAAAAAGCAGAGAGCCAGTTTAGAGCTCCCTGCGGTCCTGAAAATCAGGAGAAAGTGATAGAGCCATGCCCAGTCTCCACTCCACTCTACTGGTGATGAAACTGGGGGCCCCAGAGGAAGGAACATTTCTCTCTGTGGTCACACAATTCCCATCATCATCCTCTACACTTTACACAATGAAAGTAAAAAATATTTTCAAAAATAACTATGAAAATGCTCCCATTTGATTTTCTTACAAACCATTCAGGTCTCCATCTGTTGTCCTGGTGTAAAAACACCCCTTGCATTCTCAAAGGTATTCCTCTTTTGATGATAAACTATAACTCATCTTTGAACAACCCAGGGATTAGGGGTGCTGACTCCCCTGACTTCCCTCAAATTTAAATACTAAGGACAGAAGGAACAGGAAGAATCATCCCAGTGATGATATCCTGGAGGTCAGTCACATCTGAGGGTGCTTGCCTGTATAGAGGCAGGTGCCTTCACCTCTGTAGGTGCCTGCATATAAGGCACATCCATCCCTGCCAGTTTTGAAAGCTACACTTTTTGAAACATGCCCTGTTCTTTACACATCCAGTGGTAACTCTTCAAGGAAATTTGATTTATCTCTGTGTGATATTACAGGGAGAGAAGAAGTGATACTGATTTATTTTCTCTCAGCCCTAGACAGATTTCGCCAGTGAGATCACTTAGTTCTCTAGGTGGCCTAGAGTGGAACAGAGCTCTGGACACAGGAATAGCAGATGCTGCTATTCCTACTACTGGCTGGAAGCCTCATCAATAACATAAACAGTTGATCAGTACATATTTTATATGTTGTATATATACTATGCTGTATTCTTACAATAAAGTAAGCTAGAGAAAAAAAAATGTTAAGAAAATCGCAAGGAAGAGAAAATACATTTACAGTCCTCTACTGTATTTATACAAAAAATTCACATACAAATGGACTTATGCAGTTCAAATCCGTGTTGTTCAAGGGTCAACTGTACACAGTTGCCCTAAAACACAACTTTACAACTTGCAGCATCTGCTATTCCTGTGTCCAGAGCTCTGTTCCACTCTAGGCCACCTAGAGAACTAAGTGATCTCATTGGCGAAATCTGTCTAGGGCTGAGAGAAAATAAATCAGTATCACTTCTTCTCTCCCTGTAATATCACACAGAGATAAATCAAATTTCCTTGAAGAGTTACCACTAGATGTGTAAAGAACAGGGCAAGTTTCAAAAAGTGTAGCTTTCAAAACTGGCAGGGATGGATGTGCCTTATATGCAGGCACCTACAGAGGTGAAGGCACCTGCCTCTATACAGGCAAGCACCCTCAGATGTGACTGACCTCCAGGATATCATCACTGGGATGATTCTTCCTGTTCCTTCTGTCCTTCTCTCCCACCAACTACCCTCGCCATCCCCCTCCCCCCAAGCATATTACAGTAGTAATCACATTACAGCTGGGTAATCACGCTATGGCAGAAAGCGTGGTCCAGGGCTTTAGTCTGGGAGAGACTCCTGTTTCATACAACAGTCCCCCCAACTCCCCGCCCCTGCATAGAGGGCATCATAACCAGCTGCCTACTCCTTGTTGGCACCATCCAAATTACTCTCGATGAATGAAGCCCAATCTACAAAAGGTCTCTTTGTTGTGGTCGTGTCTGCCTTTCAAACTCTCCAAGTGTGAGACTCTGCCCCGAACACTGGTGGCTTCTTTACGTAGTGCCTGAAATCACAGCTGAGAAGGGCCAGTGCGATTTACTCTTAAAATGAATGACTCGTATGGCAATGTAACAGACAGTTCTCTAACAATTATTAGAGTATCTGTAATTCATTAAATATCGCATAGAGTAAGAGGGAAACGCTTATGTTTTAGCATTACAGGAAAAGACTTACTTCTGCAATTTTCCGAGGGAGAGAGGTTTCAAACATCTGAAGCTTTTCCCAGTAGGAAACCAGCAACTGAAGAACATCACAGGCCACCTGAGCCACGATTTTGTTAGAAAACTATAAAGGGAAACAAAACCCCAAACGAAAGGACTAAACTTAACACATACATTTGTCCTGAGGAAGAAAAGAACAGGCATTTCTTTCCAGCGATATTTAGGGATACATTTTCTTGTTTGGCATTCAATTTTTGAAAAATGTGTCCTGGTACCAGATAGGTTGTATATGATCACCATCCTGTAACTGCCTCTTGTCCAGACTAGCTGTATTAATTTATGTAATGTTCTACAGAAACAAGTAGCTGTTGTTCAGTCATAGAAAAATTAAAACCATAATTTCAGACGCCCCATGCAGATTGCACAAATCATAGTTTTGACAATTACAGGAAATTAAAATGTAGTCCATTACTGAGTATTCCCTATGTGCTGGACATTTTACAAGAATTTTCCTCATTTTCACATTGATAAATCTTCATTAGCAGCTCTGCAAGGTAGACGTGATCTTCACTTTACACCTGGAGAAATGGGGACTGAACCTGCATGTGTAAATGTGAAACTTTGGTGACTGCAAGAACCTAATTCATATGTTCTCGTGTACCCAATTACTTTGAGTATGTTTTTGGAGTCTGGTGTGTGTCCAAGGTCCTCTGGATGCTCCCATTTCTTGTGAGATGGCATATTAATGGGGAGGGATGGTGCCTACAAGGTCCACGGGCTGGGGTGGATGAAACAGGTGAAGGTACCCTGTACCTCTCTCCCTGGCCAGAACCTGGGACTACTGTGCTCTCCACACCTCATTATCTACAGAAGAAAGATTTGTCACTGATTTTGGGTCCTTGTCCAGGGAAACCTCTGGCTATGTAGTTTAGTTATTTCCATGCCAGGAGCTCCAAGTCCCATGAAGCAGATCCCAATTGACCTCAGCACCACATAGACACAGAAAAGTCAACATTTAGCATCTCAGTGTAAACTCACAGGACAAAGAAGTTAAGGCAAAAGGGATTCTTTTGAATTCTATAGGATAAACACTTCCTGACTGCCCCTTCCTGATAGGCACAAAGTACACCCAGGGCAAGAGCATCTGTGCTCAAGGAGCTCTTCAGAGCCTGGCCTCTAGGCCTCAGATGACCTGATGCTCATAGGCTTCTTTCAATCCCTCAAATACTAGCTTGCTTCTGCCCCAGGGCCTTTGTACTTGTTCCGTGCTTTGCCTGGGACACTCATTCCCCAGGTCTGCATGTTGCTGGCACTGCCACATCTTTCAGATCATGGCACTAAATGTCTCCTCCATGAGGCCACCATGCCCATTCAAAGGAGTGGCAGCCCACTTGCTCCAGCTCTTCAGCTTCATCCTGTTTCCCTCTTATAGTTCCCTTATGGCATTAAGGGCTATCAAGCTGATCTTCTGTGTTTGTCTGCCTATTCTTTGGTGTGTTTAATTTTTCCACATCTTGTTCACCATTATATTCTTAATGCCTTGCATAGCCCCCCGAGGAGAAGCACATGGTGAGTCTGAGGTGAAGATGGAACTGAGGGACTGAAGAACATGAGTGTGTTTCTGCTGCATCACAGTGGTCAAGTCATGGGGTGGAAACAGAAGGCTGGCATGGCTCTTACATCTAGAATCTGGAAGCACACAAGAGGACGACAAGAAATGAGAACTCTGGTAGACCAGACAACAAGCCTCTGGGCAGAGAGGGGTAAGGTGTGAGAGAGGGGGCAGACAGCAGAGAGGACGTGCTGTAGGGAGAAGGAGAGCTGAGCTTAGCCTGGAAGAATGCAGAGGGAGAGTGTCTCCGTGCAGCAGGGCCCTGTGGCAGGCCAGGCTGGGCTGGAGGGCTGCAAGTGGGGTGGTATTAGTCACACGTGAATGCTGTGGTGGTGGGGGGGGATAAATCACTCACTCACTCACTCACTCACTCAGCACATACTCATGGAATGAAGACAATGTGCCAGCACTGATGGTGACACAGCTACACTTGTGGTAGGCATGGCAGAAGGGATAGGTTGTTGAATCACTGTGTTGTACACCTGAAACTAACATCACATTGTGTGTCAGCTATACTCAAATAATAATAAAAAAAGTAATCAACCCCACTCCCCCAAAAAACCATATGGGGAAAAGAATTCTGGGAAATGCTGTCCAGGCTCAGCTAAACTGACAAGTACTAAGGCCCCAGCTCCCCTGCTGCCCCGACACCACACTCTGCCCCATAGATCAACATCTTGCTCTTCAAATGTATACCAATTCATGGGCACCTCAGGACCTTGGTCCTTGGTGCTCCTTCTGCCTGGAGTGCCCCTTTCCCAGACACTGCCCAGCTCCTTCTCACTATTCATTTCTGCACTCACATGCCACCTTCTTCCCACTAGAGAGGATCTCTTGCTCCCGGATGCTCTCTAAAATGTGTAGTTGCTTGGCCAGCGTCAATGGCCCCCTCTCTCCTTAACTAATAGTAGATCTTTTTCCAGGTGCAAGTCCCCTCTCACAGCTCCAGGAATGTGCCCTAACTGGCTGCAATAAATGAGAAGATTTTATTCCCAGCCTCAGTCACTGGCACAGGGATGAGGGAGAAACCTCAGCTAATGCATCTCAGTAGCCCTTACTAGAATGCTGTAAAGGAAGTCCTGTTGAACCTGAACAAAGACAGGCAGGACCCTGACTCCTACTGGCAGACATCCTCCAACCCTGTGGGCATCCCACCCTAAGATGGAGCCACCTCTGTGGACTACAGAGCAGAAGAGTCAAACAATTAGGTCAGTGTTGACGCTGTTAATCTCCTGGATCAACCAACCTCAAACTCTTCCATACCCATGTATTTTCCAGCTATACGAACCAATATTCTCCCATGTTGTTTAAGCCAAAAAAGAAAAGCAAAGCATAGGGCACAAGATGAACAGGGCAGATACAGTCCCTACTCTGAAAGACTGACAATCTTGGGAACAGGCAGGGACCTGTTTGTGTAGGTCCCTGAATGCCATGCTTAGTATTCTAGTCTGTGGGTGGCTTGGTCAGGCCTTGTGCAGACAGATGCCTCTGGTGGCAGTCTGGAGGACAGATCTGTGGGGGCCAGACTAGGGCCATGGAGTTGGAGGGCACCACCTGGAGGCTCAGGTATTGGCAGAGGGAGACAGCCTGGGTGAGGGATGGCCCTAGGGCAGCAGGACTCTATGACTGAAGATGGTGGTGGGGTAAGGAGGAGGAGACAATTAATGATGGGGTAAGAGAAGGAGGAACAAGTGAGGCTGAGGGTAGGGGTTCAGGCTGGGCTGCCTGGGATGCAAGGTTGGCAGCTCACCTGAGCCAGAGCCAAAGGTGACACTCTAGTGCCCTTGGCCCACATCCTGGATGGGACACCTAAGTAATTACAGCTCAGGCTTAGAACACTCCCCTGCCACCCTTGCTGCCCACAACACTACGCCACCAGACACAACTAGCTGGGTGGAAATCTCCACAGGTGCTTATGAGTGCACTGCTCTCGTTTACTGCTGAGGCTGCAGGCTGGTTTTCATTGATGCCCCCTGGGGAGCATTTCCAAGCCTTATCTGACCATGCCCTTCCCACATCAGAGGGAACACCCAAGTCAACCTTGTCAAGTGTTCCTGAAGGGCAGGGTCCCACAGCAGAGCGGTGCGCAGAGCCATGTGGAATCCATAAGGCGGGAAGCCCTTCCAGGGCTCATGCTCCCTGTGCTGCTGGGGCTGGGCCTCCTCCCAGCAGAGCCCCGAACCTCCCTGAGGCCCCTCTTCTTAGAGTTGTTCCCTGTGGCAACGCTCTCCCTGCTAGGCCCTCAGTTCTTTGAGATTTATGTGCCACCTCCTTCAGTAAAAGTACCAACTGGCACAGGAACACAGACATCAGAGGGAGTCAGGCAGGGAGCTGTCCCAGGAATTACACCCATGAGTTTTCCTCTGCTATTCCTAATGGTTAAAGGGAGGCTGATTTGGCCGATCTTGGCCCTCTGATTTCTTTGCAATTCAAGCTGGAATGAGTTCCTTGGCCTTCTTCAGTTGCCTTCTCTCTTATTTCTAAAATGGGGGGAAGCCAGAGCACCTACAGGTGTGGGGGGCTTCCATGGGACAGTCCCTGCACTGTGTTGGGATGCCCCTGACAGAGGCTGGGCTCCATGCATTCTTCTTCTGGTGCCTTATGTTTTTCCTCATCATTATAGAAAAAGTAAAGAAATTTTTGAAAATGTGGAAACTACAATGACAAAATGTAAGCCCTCATATCCTTCTACTTTTGTTATCAATTTCCATCCCTCTTCTGTACTACATAGAACCACATAGGGTAGAAGGATAGCTACATAGATATTTCTACACATCTCCTTCATTCTCAGACACCACGGAATTATTAACAGCTTTTCCAGGAAAGGGGTAGAGGTGGGGAAGCCACGCTACACTCAACATTTGAAAAACAGATCTTAGAATTGAGAAAATAGGATATTAAAAAAATTAGACTCTGCATAGATATACAATTGCTATCCAAATTTTTTTCAGTATAGTTACATGTGAATATTTCACCATGGCTTTTGCAGCTGTGCAAAAGCCCAGACAAGGGGTCAGGGTGTCCTGGGTTTGACCCTGGCCAACTCTTTACTTACCAATCAGCTCATTTTCCACATTTGTGAAGCGGAGGTGGCAGTAACCCTTCACCTCATAGGGTAGTTCTAAGGATTAAAGGCAACCACAAAGGTCAGCGCCCTGCTCAGGCCAGAGGGAGCACTCCTAATTGATCCTGGTTGGATCAATTTTCCATTCCTCACCACAGGGATCAGCAGCAAGTGTTTCTC